CCCTCCCCTGCCCGGCGGTTCCTTCGGGCTCTCTCATAGGCCTGCACATCCCCTCGTTTTCCAGGAACCTAGTTGGTGTCGGCTGCCTCCAGGACCTTGGCGTCACCACTACGTTCCCTGGACACGAGCGGTACGCTGTCTGTACCGAGGCCGCCTCTTGTGCCCCCCTTACCACGTTCCCCTGGGACCGGGTGTCCGGACTGTTCATACTGGACTTTGTGACCCCCCCAGCTGGGACCCCCCCTCAGGTGGCTGCGTCTACCCAGGTTGCTGCTGCCTGCTCCTGTCGGTCACTCACCCACCCGACTCTCCTGTGGCACCACCTTCTAGGTCACCCTGCGCTCCCGCGTCTCCGTCACATGTCACAGCACGGTCTCGTCCTAGGCCTCCCTGGGTCGTTCTCTGAGATTCCCTCCTCCCCTGCCCCACCTTGCACGCCTTGTGTCGAGGGCCGGCTTCGCCGTGCTCCTCACTCCTCCTCGTTTCCCCCTACCGCCGCACCGCTACAGACTCTACACATAGACGTCTGGGGCCCCGCCCCCGTCCATGGGCCGCGTCGAGAGCGCAACTTCCTAGTGCTTGTCGACGACTACACGCGCTACACCACTGTGTTCCCCCTGGAGCGGAAGGCCAACGTGCCTAACGTTCTTATCCCGTGGCTTGTCGCTGCGCGTATCCGTCGCGGTCTCCCTGTCTTGCGCCTCCACCCCGACCGTGGTGGCGAGTTTGCCTCCGGTGTCCTTGGTCGTTTCTGTCGTGCGGAGGGCATCACCCAGACGTTCACCTTGCTGGACTCCCCGCAGCAGAATGGGGTCGCTGAGCGTGGCTTGCACCTCCATGATCTATGCCGGTGCACCCCATATACTGTGGCCGTTCGCCGTTCGCTACGCCGCTCACCAGCTTAACCTGTGGCCGCACCCCCAGCAGCCTCTGGTTTCGCCGACCCTCCTCTGGTCTGGGTCACCTGGTGACGCGTCTGCGTTCCGCGTCGGGGGCTGTCTTGCTCACGTTCGTGCCTCTGGCACGGACAAGCTCACTGCCCGCACCCTTCCCTGTGTCTTCCTCGGCTTCCCCCTTGACGCGTCTGACTGGCACTTCTACCACCCACCGTCTCATAGGTTCTTTCACTCCCGTGACGTCACATTTGACGAGTCCGTCTCCTTCTTCCGCCGCTTCCCCCACCGAGGTCCCCCGGTTACCCCCCCCCCTGTTCCTGGTCACCCCTTCCCCAGTCGTCGCCGCCCCTCCTCCCCCTCCCCGTCCTGCCCCCTTTGGTGTGTCCCAAGTCACTGACTCTGGTAGTCCTGTGGCGCAGTCCTCGCCACCTGCCCCTTCTCAAGTGTCCCCTCCTCCGCCGCCTCCGCAGCCGCAGTCGCCACCGCTGTCGCAGCCGTCGACCGCCGCCGCAGCCGTCGTTGCGACTGCCGCCGCCGAAGCCATCGCCACAGCAGTTGGTTGCCTCTGGGGGTACTTGTGAGAGTACGACCCCGTTACACCACTTTCCCCTTTCCACATTTCCTTTCTATTTCATTCCTCTTTTATCCTGATTCCTGTGGTCTTTATCTCATCTCATTTGGTTTCCTATTCCTCCTTTTCCATTATCAATTGGTTTATCCTGTTATTATGATTATATCACCGACCAGGCTCGGGATGTACTGGCGCGCTATATCTAGCGTAATCCTGCCGTAATCCCTTAAAGCCAATAGCCTCGCGAGGCTATACGCAGGATGATTCTATTTCTAGAAGGGTCTATTGCTTTTGGTTAGGATAAACCTGGTTACCTTATGTACTCTGGAAGTATAAAAGCACCTTGTACTGATTGATAGTGCAACATTGAGCAAACCTTACCTCGACACATTCGATCCTGTGACACTTGGATATCAGAGCCAAGGTTTCAGCTCAACGCTTAACCGCTGGGCCCCCAGGAGCACGCCGAGGATGGAGTCGAAACTTCAATTCTTGTAAGTACAATGCACTTTCATTTAAGTTTCGACTAACATCGCGCAGTAGCACCTAGGGTCCCCTTTGAAGGCAAGATGCATCGACGGTGCCGATTTTCTCGCGGGGGGAAACGGCCTCGACCTCGCGAACGCGTCACTTCTGGCGGAACACTCCCTGCGACATTCCGAGGAGTTCGCAGTTCGCGACGACACTTGGAGTTGCGCGGAAATGTGCGGAGCTGCGACCGACGACATCCGTCCGATGAGGATTCGACGCTTCAGATCGACCAAAGCGAAAACGAAATCCTGCTGAGCGAGTTTGAGTTTCAGCGGGAACGGGAACGGGACCTCGCAAGCTGCAAAATTCTTCAGAGCGTCCGATCGTTCGACAGCCGACATCGACGACCGAGAATTGCTGCATGAAACGAGAGACCCCGAGCACGGAAAGCTGATGAACGCGACCCAGGAATATCCTCGGATAGCTTGGAGTTTGGACCGTCGGATCGACTTCTACTTCAACGGACGAGATGGAGCACGACTTCTGCACTAAGGGAGAATGACGCGCAGAACCAGAAATCAGCCGCCTTCGACACCGTTTCTTCATCTAAACGACCAAAATCGAATTCCTTTATTTGGTGACGAATTTGGCGCGCGAATCATCTGCAGGGTCAGAAATCTGCCGAAGAATTACCTACTTGGTAATAGCTGCAAGCAGAAAACTGACAGGAGAACGTGGATCATCGGATCTGTGCGGAATCAACGGCACGAATGCAGCGGAGACTACACTATGGAAAATCATCATCATGGAGACAACATTCGTGACCAGCGACTGCACAATCGACGCATCTTCTGACTGGTGTCGATAACGATCGAGTTATTTTGACGAAGTCATCTTCGTTAAAAATGGATCGACATCAACACGTCGAGATTTTCACCCAGGAAAAACAATGGAGCTGCGTGAAGACATGTTCTCCATCCATGAGACACTTCTTCTTACAAATTAATCGACAAGCTATGGGATTGCAGAGAAGTAGCCGTTTTCTCTTGCAATGCTCCCAAGTTCAAGTTGCTGCGAAGGAGCAGATTTCGCACGCAACGACGACGCAGTGAACCCGTCTCGTCAAGGCCAGCGAGACACTACTTTGTAACAGGAGCTGACCGATTCATCTTCATCAAGAATCTCAGCCATCCGAAGTGATTGGTTGGAGCAGTCTCAACATCAACCTCACGAGGCGACACACCAATCATGCGTCGCGATTCCAGGTGTTAATGACCTGCATGGAAAATTCTCCGTGCATGTCACGATGCTTGACAGATTGAGGAGTAATTAACCTCTAATCTGGCAAGTATTCGTTCACTAGCGACCCTACGGCACATGCATTGGAGGTGATTCTACCAGAAGCCGAAGCGTTACAAGCACCAGCGTAACTTCGACGATGCAGGAGAACGCCAAGCAACATGAGGTGTCAACAAATGAGGGAGATGCGGACTACTACAACACGATCACGCGCTCTACCGACCGTACATCGGAGGCACGGATGAGCATACCAGGAATTGCTACCCGTGGATGCATTGAGGGGAGAAGCAAGTTTCTCTTCATACCCTCAAATGAAACAATCACCGGCAGCAATGGAGCAACACATGTGTACTAATGTGCACGTGTTCTTGGTAGTTACGCCTGTTACACCGATCAGGAACACTCTTGTGGGAAGAGGGAGTTGATGGATTCTCCTTCAACCACTACGAGTTAAGAGAATTCTCTGCAGCAGCTGCCGCCGTCGCCATCGTCGCAACCGCCGCCGCCGCCGCAGCAGAAGACTCGACACAACAGTCATATCCAAATCCTGATGGATGATTCTCCGCTCTGTGGAGATAATGCTGGATTATATTCTAGTGGATCGTAAAGACCCGGCCAGGCACAATACTATGATTTCCAGCTAGTGGGAAGGAGATACCACTATGCGAAGGAACAACATGGCAATGCCATATACCCTCAAGAGCAAAAGATATTTGCTCTTATGAGAATGGGAGGACAACGGTACTCTACCGGTATACAAGTCCTCATGGCCTATGGCTTTCCTTAAAGTCGTAAAACCTGCGTTACAACCAATCCATCACCAGCACCAACTCCACGGAAGCAGATAGGCGTAAAATGGAGCGCCGACGCCACTCCGGATAATGGACTCCGCGTATCTCCAACAACACCCCTATTGGCCGAAATGGAGCAGACTTCAACACTGATGCCGACTAGCTGAGACGTCTTCGATATCAACGCTACTTCAAGGACAGTAACAGAATGAGACAACACATGATGGCACCAGAAGATCTATCCCAATATGTGCACCCAGACACCGATGCCTAGCGATGGCCTCCGTGCTAAACTGGACGTGCATAAGGTCATACTCGATTGGCTGTCAGCAATGCCAATTTGGAAATGGGAGAGGATTATTTGGGAATGCCCCTAATATTCCCAAGTATCCTAACCCATCACTGTGGGATATCTACGCAGCTGAGATTCCTTGCTGAGCAACCACCGAGGGAAACCACTTTGGCGCCGATTCTGGAAGTTACCAGCTCCGCGTTTATGGTACCAACCCCTCGCATGGTTTTGAACACAAGGGATACGCTGAGCAGCACTTCGCATGCGCTGTTGTACTCAAGGCAGTGGGACTAGCAGACCGCGTGGTGGACAGGGTTACTACTAGTGATTCTGCTCTCCATTCCGCAGCAGTACGATGCCGAGAGGGTACAACTTGCGAAAACACTACGGCATGGACCAGCATTCGAAAGAAGCTGCATGTATCGGATACAACACAGCGACAGAAGCAGTACTATGACACGACTGCCATACCACCAACACTTGGTGATCTTCAGGCGTGGACGAGATGCAAGTGATCTTCAGGCATGCACAGAACGGACAACATAGCCATTCATCGGCAGGTTACAGCACACTGTTCCAACCATTCACATCTCCAACTGCAACTTGCATCTGCCCATAAATCACTGACGGCGATACACACCATCCTTCCTTACTGTGGACGGAGCTCGCTCATTCCGTAGCAACAGACAGTTCTTGCTACAGTCCAACCTGCTTACAATTCCATCGCCATGTCATCCGCATACCATCCGTAGACAGATGGCCAAACAAGAGCGTCTTAACCAAATTGTAGAGCAACTACTCCGCGCAGCCCGCAAGGACGAAATCTCCAAGTGGGACTTGCATCTGCCCGTCCTGGAGTTTGCCTACAAGAATGCTACTCACGCCGCTACTGGACAGACGTCATACTTTCTCTGTTACGGACGCCACCCGATCCCCACCGCACAGACCACACCATCACCGTGGGAGACCGAATACTGCTCGACACGCGCAATCTTGATATCGGCCATCTCCCATCCAAACTACGACCTCGCTTCTGCGGGCCTATCCTCGTTGAAGCGAAGGTCACTTCATTCACCTTCCGCTTCCACCTACCAGCCACTTGGAAGATCCATAACGCCTTCCATACTAGCTTCTTAAACCCTATGAAGACCAAACACGCTCTACACTGAATGCCAACCACCGTCGCCGCCCGTGTTCGTCCACGCCATGGGACAACTACGTACTCGGGCACCGTCGTCGTCAGAATGGCACTCTGGAGCTTCTTATTTGCTGGAAGGGTTATGATACTTCTGAGGCTGCTTCTCCGAATTCGACATGGGTAACGCCGTCGTCCTCTTCGCGACTACCTTGTCAAGCAGGGTGTTACTTCTACCACCCAGCTTTGAGAGGGGGAAGTGTGAGAGTACGACCCCGTTACACCACTTTCCCCTTTCCACATTTCCTTTCTATTTCATTCCTCTTTTATCCTGATTCCTTTGGTCTTTATCTCATCTCATTTGGATTCCTATTCCTCCTTTTCCATTATCCTTTGGTTTATCCTGTTATTATGATTATATCACCGACCAGGCTCGGGATGTACTGGCGCGCAATATCTAGCGTAATCCTGCCGTAATCCCTTAAAGCCAATAGCCTCGCGTGGCTATACGCAGGGTGACAGTACTGGTGTGGAGTGTTCTGGAGGTAGTCGTCCGGCAGCTTGCGGTCCCGGTGTTAGCGTCACACCGCCGTTACAGCAGTCCCCGCCGGTGTCCGCTCTTCGCCTGCTCGGCCTTCCGTCCCCTGACCCCGTGCCCGTGCCTCCTCCTCCTCCTGTCTCCGGCCCTGTGTTCCCTCCTTCGGATGTGTCTTTGGCCCGTTTCCCCCCTCGTTCCCCTCCTGTGTCCCCTCCTCTGTCTCCTGACCTGACTCCCCCGTCTCACGTCTGATCTCACCGTCCCTCCCGTGCTCGACCTGTCTCTCCTGTCTCGCGCTCTCACCCTATATTGCTCCGTTGCCACGCGTCTCGTCCTCCCCTTCTCCCGTCGCCCCCTCCGTCCTCCCTTGTCGTTGCCCCCCCCCCTCTGTCTGGCTGCATGCGTGCCGCTCGTCCTCTTGTTCCTCGGGTCCTTGCCTCTCTCGTTACCGACCCGTCTGTTCCGGTTTTGAGTCTTGACGCCCTTGTCGCTGCGGTCGCTGACTTCGCCTCTACCCGTCTGTCAGGAGTGCTCCTGCCCTCGGCAGTGACGAAATTCTTCGACGGGAACGATTCTACGTCAAACTGTCCAAGAGCAAATTCGCCCTTGAAAAGGTCCAGTTCCTAGGGCACATGGTGAGCGCTCAAGGAGTTCACGTCGACCCCAAGAAAATCGAGGCCGTACGCACGTGGAAGACACCCGAGAACGTGAAGGAGTTGCAGCAGTTCCTAGGCTTCGCTAATTACTACAATAGGTTCGTGCCACAATATGCGAAAATCGCAGCACCACTCACGAATCTGCTGAAGAAGAACACGCCCTATAAATGGGAACCAAAGCACCAGGAAGCCGTGGAGCAGCTGAAACAAGCACTCACGTCCGCACCGGTACTCATCTTGCCAGATCCCGAACGCGACTACGTAATCGAAGCTGACGCCAGCGACCAGGCAGTGGGGGCAGTCTTAATGCAAGACCAGGGGAATGGACTGCAACCAATCGCCTACCTCAGCAAGAAACTACACGGAGCAGAACTAAACTACCCGATACACGACAAAGAGGCCCTTGCCATCGTCATCGCCTTTAAAGCGTGGAGATGTTATCTCGAAGGACGACGAACAACCGTCTACACCGACCACTGCAGCCTGAAATACTTGAAGACACAACCCAATCTTTCCAGGCGGCAGGTCCGGTGGATCGACTTCCTCGAGACACACTTCCACTACGACATCGTGTACAAGCCCGGTCACAAAAACAAAGCAGACGCTCTTAGCCGGCCTGCACACGTTGCCGCCATTCAGATTGAAGGGATGAATCCACTACTCAAGGGACTCTTCACACACGGGTACGCCATCGACCCCGAAATTCCCTTGGCAGAAAACGACATCTGCTACAGTGGGACAGCAACATCGCGTACCAGAAAGGATCAACAAAAATCTGGGTACCAAATTACCCTCCTTTGCGCCAGTTACTACTCGAAGAATACCACGACGTCCTGTACGCCGGACACTTCGGTAGCAACAAGACGCTCACCGGTATCGCCAAACACTACTACTGGCCCCACATGGCAGACGACGTCCAGAAATTCGTCACCTCGTGTGATACATGTCAGCGGATGAAGAGCAGCAAGCAGAAAAAGGCGGGACTACTGCAGCCTCTTCCTGTCCCAGAACAGCCATGGCAAGTGGTTAGCCTAGACTTCATCACCGGGTTACCACCTACCACCAGCAGTCATGACGCAATCCTTGTCGTCATTGACAAGTTCTCCAAAATGGGACACTTCATCCCGACACACACGACGGCACGCACCGAGGAGACAGCACAGCTCTTCGTTCGTCACATCATCTCACAGCATGGCATCCCAACCACACTCATTTCCGACCGAGACCCCAAGTTCACCAGCAAGTTCTGGAAGGAACTTATGTCTCTTCTCGGGACCAAACTCGCCCTGTCATCCGCATACCATCCGCAGACAGACGGACAGACCGAGCGCCTCAACCAAATTGTTGAGCAACTCCTCCGAGCAGCCTGCAAGGACGACATCTCCAAATGGGACTTGCACCTGCCCGTACTAGAGTTTGCTTACAACAATGCTACGCATGCCGCTACTGGACAGACGCCGTTCTTCCTCTGCTACGGATGCCACCCACTCACACCACAGAAACCGACAACATCCGCTACGGTACAACCTGCACATGATTTCATCACAACCATGCATCAGCTTTGGGATCGGACCCATAAGCGCCTCCTCGACATTCAACAGCAACAAAAGCGCCAGGCCGGACGCCATCGCAACGACCACACCATCACGGTGGGAGACCAGGTGCTTCTTGACACCCGCAACCTGGACATCAGCCACCTCCCATCTAAACTTCGACCTCGCTTCTGCGGGCCTTTTCTCGTTGAAGCACAGGTCACTCCTGTTACCTTCCGCTTACGCCTGCCAACTACCTGGAAGATTCACAACGCCTTCCATGTCCAGCTTCTGAAGCCCTACCGGGATCCGAACACGATCTTCGTCGGACGCCAACCGCCGCCGCCGCTGCCCGTCCTTGTCCACAATGAACCCGAGTACGAGGTCGAGTCCGCAGGCTTCGAAAAATCTACCGTCAGTACGAGCTTGCTTTCCTTTCCGAGGCTGCTCCCCATCTCTGTTCCATGCTTCTAGTCCCTCAGGGTGACCCTGACGCTTTCGACATCCCGACCCCTCGCACTTACGCTAAGGCGGTCTCGGGACCCTGGGCCTCTCAGTGAAAAGCTGCCATGGAGAAGGAGATGGCATCTTGGAGATCCACCGGGACCTACGTCGACGCAGTTCCCCCACCTAGGGTGAACGTAGTTGATGGCCGCTGGCTCTTCAAGGTGAAGCGCCCTCCTGGAGAGCCACCTGTGTTCAAGGCGCGCTACGTGGCTAGAGGTTTCAGTCAGCGTGAGGGGGTGGACTTCTTCCTGACCTTCGCTCCGACCCGGAAGATGACTACTCTTCGGGTGCTACTACACGTAGCAGCGCAGCGTGACTATGAGCTTCACTCCCTCGACTTCTCCACTGCGTTTCTTCAGGGCAGTCTACACGAGCAGGTCTACCTGCGTCGCCCTCAGGGCTTCACTGGTACCTTCCCTCCTGGGACCCAGTGGCTCCTGCGGCGCCCCGTCTACGGCCTGCGGCAGGCTTCCCGTGAGTGGCACGACACGCTGCGTGCTACGCTTGCTGACCTGCAGTTCTTTCCGTCCTCTGCAGACCCCTCGCTCTTTGTTCGTGCTAGCCAGACTCTGTTCTACATCCTTGCTTACGTAGACGACCTGGTCTTCGCCACGGCAGACAGGGACGCACTGGCCTCCGTGAAGGCAGAGCTGCTGAAGAGACACATCTGCACTGACCTTGGAGAACTGCGTCACTACCTTGGCTTGCAGATCTCCAGGGACAGAGCAGCCCGCACCATCACTTTGACTCAGTCACACTTGGTGCGCCAGGTCCTTCAGAGGTTCGGCCTCCACTTCTCCTCCGCACAGCCTACTCCTCTGCCTCTAGACCACATGCCCTTCGCTCCAGTTCTTGAGGAGTCAGCACAGCCCAGTGGTCCCTACGCAGAGCTGGTGGGTTGCCTCATGTACCTGATGACTTGCACGCGCCCAGATCTCGCATAACCTCTCAGCATCTTGGCTCGCTTTGTGGCTACAAGCAGACGCCGACCTCAGCACTGGTCTGCTGCTAAGAGGGTTTTGCATTATCTTGCAAGTGCATCGGGCATCGGGTTAGTGCTAGGAGGACGTAGGCCAGTGGTCCTTACTGGACACACAGACGCTTCTTGGGCAGACGACGCCGAGACCCTCAGGTCCTCACAGGGCTACTGCTTCAGCCTTGGTTCAGGTGCCGTCTCGTGGAGAGCTACCCGCTCCTCATCTGTTGCCCAGTCTAGCTGTGAGGCCGAGATCTACGCCGGTGCCATGGCAGCACAGGAGCTCCGTTGGCTGACCTTCTTGCTCACTGACTTAGGTGAGTGGCCTAGCTCTGCCTCGGTCCTGTACGCTGACAACAGGGCCATGATCCTCCTATGTCAGGAGCCTTGACTCGAGGGCAGAGCGAAGCATATTCAGCTGCGGTACTTCCTCCTGCGTGAGCTGCAGCAGCGCCGCCAGGCGCGTGTAGTACACTTGGCCTCCGGTGCCAACACAGCTGATATCTTTACGAAGACGATTGCGCCTAAAGATCATCAGCGGCACTGTGTACAGCTGGGTCTCGTTCCTGTAGCCTCTCACTTGCTAGGGCCTTGACTTTGTACTGTCCTTTATATCTATATTTTACCCAGACTGGCCTTGTGGCCTCTCCCAGTGGCTGACTAGTAGTGCCGCCTTGGGCTTGCTCTTGCCTTGTCCTTTTGACTGGTCTTTAGACCCTTGTCTCAGAGGCTGGACTAGTAGTGCCGCCCTGAGCTGCTTCTTCCCTTGTTAGGCACTGCCCCTATATAGTCTAGGGGGTGTGTCAAATGTAACTTAGGTTGTTACTGTAGACTATACTGGATTGTGCATTAGAGGGTACAACACCCTAGTCTATATATCCTTGTACGCACATATTCTAGTTCAATCATTTTCTTTCTGATAGAAATGCCCTGATTTCCCTGATGCTTCATTTTTTTTACTAGTCTGATTTTTCAGGGTTTGAAAATTCTTAACCCCGATGTAGAAAGTGTTCCTTTCTTTTTACCTTGGCTAAATCCGGGTGTGCGCCCGGCCAACCCTGATACGTCAAGGTGGCCCGAAAATTACCCTTAATGTAAAACAGTCAAGTGCTTTACGCGTGGCGTTTTTCCTCGCACACCATCAGCAAATGCCATCCACATTCCTACCACCTGCGGCCGTTTGCCACCCTGCCCCACCCGCAGTGTCGAATTTTCCCCTCCAGCTGTCCGTGCGTCAGCTTTTGTTAGGCCCGCTATTAGTCGCTTTGGCAGCAATATTGCCTTAGTCCCAGCCGACGAGAGTTTATTGCATGTGACGCATGAACCGCGCCCTCAGTGCGAGCCTTTTAGTTCCAGCATAGATGGGACTTCGAAAGCTCATGCTTGAACGCGGCCCGTGTGACTGCATGAGGAATCTCTGCTGGGTGACGACGGCTGGCCCTCCATCCCTTCCATCGACTTCTTTATCCCCCCAAAACTAGACCCCGTGTTATCACCCTTCCCTAGGAGAATCCCTCTCACTAGCTTTCTCGAGCAGAACCAGTAGATGACAGTCGACAATGACTACGAACTCCCTCAGTCCCGTCCTTGTGACAGCCTTAGCATACTGGGGATCTTTCCTCTCAAGCCTCCCACGGTCGTACCACTGTCTACTGAAGGTACGGGGACCAAAATCACATCCCTCGTCAAAGAGCATGTGAGAGGAGGCTGGTGATTGGTCCTTAGTCAAAATTACAAGCAGCTTCGTGGAGGAGAGGGTGTGCTGGAACAGCTGCTAGGAGCGGGAATTGCATAGGGCGAAGTCAGGGGTTTACCAACCAATCGGGGGTCGTGTCATGTTACTACTGAGCACCCGCTACCTGCCAGGCCGATGACAATGCACCTGTCTTTCGATCAAGCGGGCATGCACGCTGCCACACCGTATCGCGTGGTGCGACCACCACTCAACCCCACCTCGTCCCAGCCGAGCATGCTCCTCCTGGTTCATCGCTTTCATGCGGTGCGGGCAAACGTAGCAAAAGGCTTGTAGCTCACTCAGTTTTTTCGCCCCATCTTCGCTAGCTGCTCTGTGTCGTCTCTCTGCACCACCTGCTTGACCGTCTCTCACTCACCGTCTCACGCCATGAGCGACGATGAGGGATGGCAGGTGCAAGCTCAAAACGGCGCAGCAGCAAGGAAGCCGCAGGCAAGCCAGTGCCCTGCCTGTAACATAGTCAGCGCTGGATTTTCTTGTGCGTCCTACAAGGCAGGGCGCCGTTTGGAGTGTTGCCGATACTCGTATTGACCCTTTCCCGTGCATCACAGTCCCCCCCTCCATTGAGTCTCCTCGTGCAGTCTCGTCGCCGCGCACAGAAACGACACCAGCAAGGGGGCCGCCTCCTGCTGTCTCGCTGCCCCATGCGGATACGCCACCCTTCAGCTACCCTTTTGAGCCTGGCTCCCACCGCCCAGCCGTGCGCATCCGCCGGTGAAGGTTCCTCGGGCCATGCTAGAGAGTCTCCAGCACCTGCCAAGCGTAAGCGCAGTGGATACACGCAGCAGTGTCTCCCCTTTGCGCCACCGCCTAAGGAACCTCTGACCCCAGTGGCAACACCGCCTCCTCCTCCTCCGCCTCGCAGTACCCCGGGCACCGATGTCGATACGGAGTACGACATCGTCAACCGCCGCTACGTCGATGACTGGTCCCGTCGCTTCACGTGGTTGCGCCTGCATCGTATGAAGAATGGCCGCCATCACTGAAGTGCGCGATATGTCTGCAGTACGGCGACGTTTTCAGCAATACGAAATACGGGAGGAAAAGCAAGGGCGGACGCGACCTGCAGGTCGGCAGCATCCGCACTCATCTCGGAACCCGAGCGCACCAAGGACGCTCTCGCGGCGAGAGAAGACAAGGAGCGGGATTGGATCGCCAGCGCACCCCTCGACCGGTGGCAAAGGACGGACGCTTCAACGAAGCACCTGATTCGGTGCCTCCACATCGCCCTCTTCGTCTACAAGGCGGATGCGCCGATCGCCATGTTCGTCGCGCTCTGCTTCTTCCTCGCTCGTGAAGGACTGCCAGATCTCCCGCCAGGAGGGGCGTACGGAACCTACTATACCGAGTAAGTTGTTTTAGCCTACGCCTTTGAACAGTTTTCGGTTGTGTATCTTGCTTTCCACATGCATCGAAATATTTCTTCACCCTTACATAATGAATACTAACTCGGTTTGATGTTGCTCCCCTTGCGCCACACTCCCCACAGCTACGGATTCAAGGAGTGCTTGAAGGCTACCTAACTTCGCGACTGCCAGGTGGAGCACATCTGGGCCTCCCCGTTTGTCAGCATCTCGATCGATGAAAGCATGGATAGGGTGCATGGCAAGCACCTTATCTTGTATGCTACTTTCTTCAAGGGGTCGGCCGTCGTGACAGAGTTTATGACGCTCCTGACCGTCGACCGCACCGACACGGCTTCCCTCTCCGCGTTCTCGTGCACTACCTTTAGTCTATCGAGCTGGATCTGCAGGGGATCGTCCGGTGTTGCACCTGACGGGCCGGCGTGGTGGCCCGTCTTCGTGCAAGGATTGAACATCTCTTTTCTGCTCACTGCATTGCTCACAGGTCGGTTTGCTGACATGGTTCAAACACTCAAATCCCTTTGCTGCCATGCATCCTATGTTTACATTCCATCTCCTTCTTTCCTCCCGCCTTATCACAGGGAGTCGTTGGCGGCGAAGGACACGGCGAACCTAAACCCAGCGCTACAGATTGTCGACACCGTCATCCGTGGCTTCGCCGAGTTTGTCGGGCGCTCGAACGTACAGCACTCGCGTTTCATGGACCTGCAGATGGTTTTCTGCTTCACCAACCTTGAAGCCCAGGGGATATACGCCATCCGCTAGCTTGCAAGAGGTGAAGCAGTGCGCCGCTTCGCGGATGTGCTCCCTGCGGTGATCGTCCTGCTTCGAGAAGCCGGGAGCCACCTCTACGACATCGTGACATCCTTCAAGTTCCAGTACCTCCTCTACTTCCTCGCCGACGTCCTGGCGGAGCTCAACCACCTCAACCTCCGGTTTCAACAGAGGCAGGTAAGTGGTCTTCATAGGAACCCTTTTTCATTGCTACTGATATCTACTGTTGCTGTGTTTAAACTCAACATCAAGCCGTGCACATATTTAGCCGTAATTGGTTCTCTATGCACATGATCCTATTGGCCCCCCTGTTGGCAGGTGGACATCACGGTCGTCGCTGCAGTAGTGACAAAACACGTGCAGCCGCATTCCGAGCTGCTACATCCATTGTGGTGATGGTCTTCAGTTCGGCAATGGCGACAGCCAGCTCCTCGGGGCGTTTTCTCGACCGCCATGGCTCTACAGACAAGAGGCAGTACCGGGTGTCTGGTGTGGACACCGATGGAAACCCCCAGTCCTTCGTCTACAGTCTCCATGAGCGACAGCTGGAGGTGATGAGACGGGCAGTGACTTGGCGTCATGCAACGTCATTGCGAGGAAGTACGCTAGTGATCTAGTCATCGGCATCAACGGCGCTCCAACGACCTCTACAACCTTGACAGCACGAAGCTCTTCAAGGTGAAGGCCTACCTCAACAACGAGGACCTGCGCATGGCCCGCTTCAGGCAATGGCTGAGGCAGCTAGCTGGACTCTTCAGGAACAAGCTCCCTGGTAAGTTGTGTGCTCAGTACATGTGTGTTCACCATGTGAGTTTGCCAAATGTGTTTGCACCTAAAGCACCCATGTCTCATAATCCCCTCTGTTGTTTATTCCTCTTTGCCCCTGCAGGTTTCGACTACCAGAAGGCTATGAGGGAGCTGTGGATGTTCATCAGCACCATGGCCTCGCAGTACAAGGACGACGACTTCTACACTGCACTGACCCTCACCCTCGACAACAACGACTGGCAGCGAGGCTACCCCAACATCCTGAGGCTGTGGCAGGCGGTGGCAGTGCTGCCTCTCAGCACTGTCGAGTGCGAGCGTGGGTTCTCTAAACAGAACCTAATCAAGACCTGGGGCCGGGGTAGCCTTGGGGATGACCGCTTGGGTGACTTGATGCGATGCAGCTTGCTGGAGTACAGGTGGACTGGTACGCTGTCATGGCTATCTTCCGTGCAGAGAGGCACCGTCGCCCCACCCAAGACCTTCATGGGGTGAATCCGGCCCCTGCTGCACCTGCTGAGCCCCAGGGAGAGACTCAGCCTCTGGAGGAGCTAGTAGTGGTTGAGTAGGATGGCTTGTATAGCCGCAGCTAGGTACATTACTGTTGCATGCTGACATCTAAGTAGCTGTAGGTAGGCTAGCTTAATGAAGTATGTAGTCCTAGGTAGGTAGGCCATGTAAGATAACTGTGCATGTTAACTGCAATATTAAGTTACACACTAAAGTGTACTGCAAATCAGTGTGCATAAAAAAACCCTGAACAGGCAGGGTGCGAAAATTTTTAGGCTGCAGAATCAGACTCAAAAAGAAGTCACCCCTTACGTCAGGTGTGTTTTGCCAGGCAAACCTGATTCCAAAGTGTGCT